ATTATAATTTATTACATTCAATTTAGAAGTTATGAACAATTGAACAGTTTTTAAATTTCCTTAATTAATTGAAATTAATAAAAATTCCTAACACTTTCCCATATTTTACAGTTTAAGAAAGAGTGTTCGGGTCCTTATTAGTTTAATTTCAAAGGCAGTAATTACAGTTGAAGGTACAAAATACTTATTCTTTCTGTCAGACCTCCTAGGCTTCAAAATTTTTCCTCCTTCACCATATTAATAAAACTCAGATCATACAAAGTAAGTCATGGAAAAAAGTGACCGATACTACTTAAGAAGTGCCCATAAGCTTCAGCTAACAGACTGGTACATGGAAAAGATTCTAAGCCCCACTTGTAAAAGTAACTTCACATTATTACAAGATCTTGGTTTAACTTAGGCTTAAGGCAACATAAAAAAGAAGGAGCTCATCTTTCATGTTTTGCAATTCCATTTTTCTCCCGATGCCATGATCATGACATATTTATGTCATAAGAGAGCTGCTGTACCCATTAATAAATTTTCTTTACCCTGAACTATAAAAAGTACTGAAGAAATAAGACCACCAAACCTTTTTTCACAACTAATGAGTTAACATGACTTAGAGAAAAGACAATGAGTGCTGCATTATCCAATCCAAAATGCTGAACTCCTCTACAGTATATTTAGGACCCTCCATAAACTAGGAGGGCTTCTTGTCCATTGCAAAACTCTTGTTGAACAGAAGACCTCCTCCTCAAGTAAAGTTACTGGTACTCCACTCTGGAAGCATGAAAACTTTCTGTATACTTACATGGTAATCCCATGGTGAAGTGCAAAGAACCTGTGATAAATCCCTTTTAAAAGAGCCTTGGCTTGCTCAGTTGTACAAAGATGTAGTTGTGATCCACAACTGGACAGAGATGTTCTGCCCACAACAGTAATGCACAGTTGGCATGGAGCTTAATTGAGAGGCAGTGTTTGTTTCGGAGTAGCCTTAAACCTCCACAACAGACAAGGGAATAATTAATGCTGGCTATTACTGAACTTGATATGGAGACCTAATATTCGATTTATCTCCTTTCTAAACACAGAGGTTTAGTTTTCACTAATGTTGAAAAAATATACCCTTTAAATACTTCCAAAAGACTCCTCTAGAAAGCCAACACAAGTTGCCCAAACTTGCCACATCTTGTAGAAGGCATTATGTTTGATGGTCAATGTGAGAACACCCCACAGCAAAGCAGAGTAAAAAGGAGCACTTCCAGTACAATCTTCCTCTTCATAGCTGATGGGTTTTATGGTCTGTTTAATTTTCTTCTACCTTCTTTACCCTTGATAACTGTATTAATGTGGTGGGATGATAGTTAACACTGTAGTATGATGCAGCTGGTTACAATGATCAACCAACCCTATTATTTCACAGCAAAACTATGACACAGTTGGGTTGTGGAGTTCATTTATCAACTTAAATTTGAAAATACAGCAATCACTTAAATTATGACCTCTGAAAAGAAAAAGTATATATCACTAACAAGCAAATTAGAACCCAAAATCTCTCTTCCAGCAGTAAGTAAAATTTAAAATATAAAATATAATCTTTTTAATGAACACAAATGCACAAGTCGACAGATTTACAGCATTATGCATAATGAAGGTTTGCTGGATAAGATTTAGTTCGTTCAAAGTAGGAGAGTATAAATGTAATACCATTTCTCAACCACATTTTTCAAAAAGAATAATCTTTATTTCAGACAAAGTGGAGTATATGTATATATATTTATCAAATGTCTAGTGCTATCATCATAGATAAAGCCATTACCACAAAGTATTATCAATATAACAAAATATGAATGATGAAGATAATCCTAACAGCAACTACTGAAAAGCCTCAATTCCCAAGCCTGAAATAAACAGAGGATACACTCCCATGGACTGGAACCTCCCAGCATCATGACACCACTGGCTGCAGCACCTAACCAGGCAGCTTGGAAAACCTTAATAACCACATCAACCCTGAGACTTTACTGACAGATGTGACTAGTTGCAGCTACTCAGCAACTGGACTGCAGCAGCAGTAAGGCAGGATTGAAAACTCTTCTTCCCCCACACTTCAGACAAAAAATAAATGTACCCTCATATAGAACCCAAAATGTTGGACTTGCTCATACAACTTATGGGAGATGATATTTGACATATCCCATCACCCCCATCTTTAAGATGTAAAGTCTCCTATTTAAAAACAAGACCATTCTCAATTTTTGCACAAGAAAAATAAGTGGGAAGGTAGGGTAGCCTCTAACATACATCTAGTTTCCCACTGTTACATGTTAAGGCACAGCTCTTGCCCAGACCTATTGCATTATTTTCAACAGATCTGTCAGAATGATCAAGACCTTTAAAAAGAATTGAAGAGTCAGTTACAGTTCTGCCTGTACAAAGTACTGGAAAAATCTTAGGCAATAATCCCACATTAGTAACACTTAATGACAAAACTGACATTTTAGAGGTTGTTAAGAGAGCTAGGTTTGGAGATTGGCTTGGTTTTTGTTTTTTTTATAAATAAAATATCATATCCTGGTTTATCAAGTTCTGTAAGGGTTCCCTTTCTGAATAACTGTGTTCTTTCTCACTGTGATCTAAAACTCTTAAGAAACTGAGCCAATGAGCCAGAAGTCAGGGTCATTATCTTTCACATTAATCAGTCCTGTCAGTTAAATCTTAAGTTAAGCCTTTAAATACTTCTTTTCACACCAGAATTCCATCTCACCCTTACATCTGTAGGGTATTTAAAGCCTGCAAAAATATCCTACTCTGACCAGAGAATTAAATTACAAACACAGGCCTTGCATACCTTGATTTTAACTCTGCAAGACAGTTACCCCAACATGTTTCAAATGCTGCTCTCCTGTTCCTTAACAGGAGCCTACATCTGAATCACTAAACACATTGCTAATCACAATTTTAAAACCAACAAATTACAGTCACAAGAAAATTTACTAATTATATAAATAGGCAGGATGGTAAAACTTCTCCTCCATGTTATATTTAAGTATGATAACTGGTAAGTGTTCTTACAAGATATTTTTCTAATGCATTCTTGTACAGGTAGATTAACAAAATTTTGGGGGGCTGTTACATAGGGCTATGTTAAGAATTACTGAAAACTACCCATACTCTAATGGGAGAGCCTTGTAAAATTAAGTAAGTATTCCAGACTGGATACCATTCAATAATAGAACATAAGCATTCTGCACAAGAAATGAAAGCATACTCTTCTTCACTGAAGCACCAGCCTTATGAAAGTTACAGTGTAAATATAAGCTAGCATATTTGCAAAGTGCCTCAGAAGAATCAGTATGCAGTACTTCCGCAAAGCAGTCAGTCTTAAAACCCTTGGGGACACCTACTTGTCACAGAATAAATTATCTGGCTAATATCCAATATTAGAGTACATGGCAGTGGGTACCCAGGAGACGGGCATTAGAGAGCACGTAGCTTCCTCAGCCTTGCAGGTTAGTCTTTACATAAACGACTTTGCCCAATTACAAAACATAACTGATGTACATATTTCGGAGTTTTCTAGCATCAGCCTTTAAATCCTAGAACATTTCTATAGCACTGGATTTTTGTTTGGTTTTTTGTTTGTTTTTTTTTTCCAAAATCACAGGTCCCCATGCACAGGATACTGAACAGGTATTTTTCACATGAACCTACGCTTTTTTTTTTAAGATATTCAAGGCAAACAGAAATATCTGACTACTGATTAGAAGTGCTCTCAAACACCAGAATTATGCTGTTTAATAAAAACTATGGGGAAAATAAGTTCTCCCACAACTCTAGTGGTTCTTTCCTAGTTGCTAAAGATAAATAGCCAAGTCTGCATCCCACACGCAATACAGACATAAAGCTAGAAAATACATGCATCACAAGACATGCTAGGTCTCAGAAATACGAGACTTCTTGGAGACATTTACTTCAGTTTGCTACAGCAAACCGCAGTCACCACCAGGCTGCAGAACAAGAAGAAACCTGTTGCCTCTGAAGTTGCAAACCAAATCAATGCTTTACACCGAATCAAAGAAATCCAGTAGGTTAAACAGTAGAAAAAACAGAAAATTATTTTGCATGGCTGGAATTCGTATTTTTAAAAATTACACCAACTGATGCAGGATAGAGGATGATCAAAGATAATATTTTCTTCTGAAAGAAACGTGAACGGCTTTTGAAAATAGGTTGCGTTCCACTCAACTTGCAGCAAACGCAGCCCAAACTAGGCGCACAGTCGAAGCACGCCGAGGACAGAGCCACCTTACAGCGGCAGGTTTCGTAACTGACGAGATTCGGGTCAGGCTGGGGCCGATGCTCCCGGCTCCGAGCACGGCGCTCCGGACAGCGGGCACCGCCGCGTCCAAGCCCCGCACCCCTGACCCCGCAACCCCCGGCCGTGAGCGCTGCCCCTTCTCCCCCGCCCTCCCTGCCGGCACTTCCGACCGGGCACGGCGAGACGCGGCGGTGCCGCCCGGCGCCGCTGCCAGGTGCCCGGGGAGGGAGGCGGCTGTCCCGGGCGGCACTGGCGGAGCAGCGGCGGGGCGAGCCCCTGCCCCGGCCCGGCGCCCTCAGCGCATCCCTTCCCGCAGCGGGGCGGGAAGCGGGAGGACGGATGCGGCTCTCCCCCTGCACCGCCTGGCACCCCGCAGGGCGGGAAGCGGCTCCCGCGGCCCGGCCCGCTGGGCCCCGAAGGTGCGGGCCGAACGCCCCTCACGGCCCGGGGCGCGCCGGGCGGTCCTGGCCACTCCTCGGCGGCAGCGCATCGGGAACTGCCCGGCGGGACCCCCGTCCTCCTCGCCGAGGTGCCGCAGGCAATTATTTAAGAATTAAAATTCGGGGAGAAAGGGGAAAGTTGAGGCTGTGCCCCAGCCCCCGCTCCCCAAGGGATGCCCTACACCCTGCAGGAAGGGAACAAGCGGGAGCGGGCTGGGCGCGGCTGCCGGCCGGCAGGGTGGAAGGGCTGAACTTACGTCTCGGAATTTGTTCCACTGTCCGACCTCCTTGTCGTACTGGGAGATGGTCGTGAGCCATTGTTTATCGTCCAGAAAATTGCCGCTGTCCGGTCTGCCCCCGGCCGCCGCCGCCGCCGGGCTGCACCAGGCTGCTGCACACACGCACACCAAGGCTGCCGCTGCCGCGAGCATCTGGGCGAAAGGAGACACGGGCAGGGGGGTTACCCACAGCGGAGCCGAACCCCGGCCGGGGGCTGCCGGCGGGGGACGGGACAGCCGCCCGCGGCGGGCCCCCTGGCCCACCTGAACGCGGCGGGGGGAAGGGGAAGGGGAGGCTGCCCAGCCCGTCACCTTGCTGCGCGCCCCGCACCCGCGCTCCTCGCCGCGGCCGGAAAGGCGGCCCCGCGCCCGCTCCCTCCCCGCACGCGCCGCCGTCTGCGGCCGCCCGTCCGTCCGCCCCGCTCCCGCGCCGCGCGCGCCGCCCGCCCCTCGCCCCGCCCCGCCCCCGCCCCGC